AGATGTAGATATTGTGATTGACATTATTGAGAAAAACTTGCCAAAAACATATGAAATCATGAAAAGATGAAGAGAGAAATGTCACGACTTTATTCTTTTGTGTCTATATATCTCTTATTAATTCCCTCTGATTTGTCATGTCCCGTTAAGATGGTATCATCTTTCATTTTCCATCTCTCCCACTAAATTTGATAAAATTTATGTAACTCTAAATCGTTCTTACTTTATTATTACTTTATCAATTCAATATCAACTACATAAATTCACTTTTATTAATAATCACACCACATTTTTATGTTCATATATTAGTGAGACAAAAATAGTACTTCCCACGTAGTATTACTTAGGGAGAACTATCAAGTAAGCCCTCGAACTTTCATAAAAAGTGCAAATAAGCCCTTTTTCAAAAGACTTTGTTCCGCTGTCGCCATTTGGGTCGGTTTCCGGTGGAATTTTTTGATAAAACTTTTATAGCATTTTTTTCATTAAGTCTAGTTTATTCATACCAAATTTCAGCTAAAAATTCAATCAGGAAGATAGTCAAATGAATTTTTGAAGATAACTGCGCAGTTAGACAGCGCAATATATTTTAGAAAATCATTTGACTGTCTTCTTGATTGCATTTTTAGCTGAAATTTGGTATGGGGAAACTAGACTTAATGAAAAAGATGTTCAAACAATTGCATCAAAAAATTTCACCAGAAACCGCCCCAAATGTCGACAGCCGAACAAAACCTCCTGAAAAAGGACTTATTTGCACTTTTCATGAAAGTGCGAGAGGTTATTTGATAGTTCTCGCTATTACTTATGAACGAATGAATCGACCACTATCAAGGCAAAAATATATTTACAGTAAGTCACAATATCCTTGATTTCTATCTAGCTAAATGGTGAAAGCATACCAATGATGCACAAACTTTAAGTCTCTGAAAGAGAGAATTTCTCAAATAGGAGTAAAACATAGGCAAAATACAAAAATAGAAGTATCATGTTTTGAATAAGAGTAACTTTAGTGTTTGGACAAGTATACCCCTACCCAAGCCCCAACAACTTTCATTAATAATTAAAACATAAAAGAAATACTCCCTAAGATTAATTAATTTATAATAAAATTGTAAAAAAACAAAAAAAATACACAAAAAAATATCAAATAAAATATACTTCGTATTAAATAAAATAAAAAATTAATAAAATAAAAAAATAAAAAATACAAAACTAAAACAAATAAAAAAAATAAAAAATGAAAAAAATATAAAAAAAAAATGTAGGCGTCTAGCGCCGGCTCAACAACCTCACAGCACCACCAGCTCCGAAAAACGAAAAAAATGCTAACAGTTTGAAGAAATGCCATCAAGATGACAGATTTTGAGAAAATTTGGCATTTTCAAAGAGCAAAACTGCCATCTTTATGGCATTTTCAAAGAAAAATGGCATTTTTTCTGTTGATCGTAGGTTGAATCCCCAACCCCAAGGGCCCCCCACCCCGACCCGACAGGATGGTGGAGGAGTAAATCACGGTGACTCAGTCGGCAAAGCGGCAGTAGGCCTTTACCCGTGCGCATCAGAGGGCCAGCCTTATTTCAGGTTCTTAAAACCCCCTTTTGGCCGCTGCGGGATTCGAACCTTGGTCTACGTCCAATTTTTTCCACCGCTCGACCAACTGAGCTACCCGCTGCGGGATTCGAACCTAGGTGACATTGCTGGGTGATGACCGAGGGTGTGGGAAAGGCCTGCATTTTTTTTAATTTTTTAATACAATTTATCTATTTATTTATTTATTTTTAAAGTTTTTTATTTTTAAAAAAATAATTTTTTTTTAATATTTTAATATTATTGGGATGAACTTAGATTATTTTTAAAATTAAATGGCCCGCATAAAGGTATCATTTCCGGTGAATGAACTTAGATTTTTTTAATAGGCCAGGATCAAATAAGTTATATGTTAGAATCAACTAGGTTAGGGATATTAAGGGTACAAAATTAATGTTTACTCCTATTGAAGAAAGTTTTAAGTTTTACTCCTATTTGTGCAATTATGTTTGTGTTTACTCCTCTATTGGCCAATTTCTCTTTCTGAAATGCTGAAAAGCTCGAAGAAAATTAAATAGGCATCTCACTACTTCCCACTACAGGGTTAGTGAACAATGGTAGACACCGTATATAGTACCAACAAGAGAGACTGGACTTATGAAACAAAGTCATCCATTTCGGAATTGAGAAAATCAATTATTGAAAGAGACCCGAAAACTAGAAAAGTGACTTGTTTAGGAGCCAATTTTGTAATATGGAGTACTCCAAGGCATATAGCCCATTTGGTAACACAAAAATCTGCTGAATCAGTTGATTCTGTTGAAATTTAGAAAGTTCTGGTTGAAGTGGCTGCAGTGACTGATTCTGCTTATTTAAGAAAAAAAAAATTTTAAAATATATTTTATTAATAAAATAAAGAAAAAATATATATATAAATAGCTAAAATGGTCATCTACAGTAACTTCAGCCAATACAGCCAGAAAAGTAACTCCAACCTTATTTTTTTCTTATCATTGGACAATTCATACTTTGAATTTGTTGTGCATCGCAGGCTGCACTTAGCCACCCTTAGGCCAAGCTCTGCCTCTAATCTCGAGTATCACACATTCACTGGAGAACCTGGGGGGCAGGGGGTTTGAGGGCAAGTACGTGTTTCTGCTTTCGGCCCATAATTTCACTATAAATACTTATGGTGAAAATCGGTGTCCCCAATCGGACAAAAAATTACTACTCCGTATTATTTTTCATTGTATGTTATTGATCACATCAGTCTCGAGATAGAGAATCGTTTTAGCGAGTCAAACATAGAATTACTCACTTGTTTAGTATGTCTTGATCCTAAAGATAAGTTCTCCAATTTATGTGAATCAAATCTATAGAACCTCGTGAAGCTATATCTGTGTGAATTTATCTCTTGATCAAATGGACCTGAAAGAGTAATTTCATCTCCATGTGTGGATACATGAAATGAGAACAAAATGTATTATTTTCTACCGTACAAACTATTAGTGAAGTCTGTAAAAATATGATTAAGTTTTAAATTCACAAAATTTTCCCTAGGTCTATCGTCAGATTTAGTTGGCTTTAGTAGTACCCGTTGTAACAACCATCATTAAAAGCGCCTTCTCTAGTATGCTACATTGACGATAGTATTGGAGATGACTTTTTTACGGATTGCTTGGTATGCTACATAGAGAGTGATATTTTAGAAGCAATGATAATGAATTTCTTTTGGAGATGACTTTCCTACGGATTGCAACATTTGCAAAATATGGAAACTCACAAGGTTGATTTATTGAAGTTGTAATAATGAACTATTTAATATGTACTACATAATTACGTACTCCATATAATTTGTGCAGATGAGTTACTTTTTATCATTTTTATTACATTTGGAATTGTTAACATAAAGTAATTTAGTATCTAGTGTGCTCCGGTCTCACAAATCTCTAAATTTACATTCACACCATAAACATCTAAACATATGACTATACAACAACAGCAATAACATCTAAACATATGACTATGCGAGAAGAAAATATATGGAGCACGACAACGTACTCACTATGGAGCATGTGGACGTGATGAATGACCACTATTCTCTAAATATTTTAGATGAATGAATCGTGATAGTTCATCATGCCAATGTGCTCCGTAGTGACTACATTGACATGCTCCATATACTTTCTCTTATGTGAGCACCCAATTACAGGGTGATGTTAGACATATATCAAAAATAAGGTGAGTACATACTCAAATCGTGATTATCTTAACTTTGATAAGATCATATGTAGCATCCCGTACTAGTCAAACATTAACGATTTAGTGTGATTCTGGTTCCAACCAAATAGGACCAAAACGATTCTGACTAGGGATGGAGTCGGGCCGGTTCAGGCCGGGTCTAAGGTCGGGCCCGGCCGGGCTTTTTTACGGGGAATTGAGGCCCGGGACCGGCCCGGTACCTACCGGGTCTGGTTTGGGCCGGGCTACCCGGCCGGGTAGCGGGTTGGGTACAGGCTGGGCCGAGTCGAGCCATGTTCGGGTAATTTTTTTAAATTAATTCAAGATTTGTTGGATATAAAAAAGTTAAATTATATTTATTTGAAATATCTGATACAATTGAGAATTGAAAAAAAATAAAACATGAAATACATTTTCTAATAAATAATAATCAATCGGAACTCCGCCATCTTCGGTGGTTTCCTCCATAAAGTGGGGGGTGGGGCGATGCACACTTCTTGCGTTCTACGTTTCGCCTTCAACCAATCGTGAAAACAAACAAGCGTCTCAAGAGAGTTCGCGCTCAATCTTGTTCTATAATCGGTTAGCATGTTACCGACCGAACTAAATTATTGTTCCAAGGAAACTGTTGATACCGACATTGTTAGCACTTGCTTAGTCATCTTTGATAAAATCAGGAACGTTCTTTCTTTTTTCTTCCACCACTTTAGAACGTCAAAGTCATCTCCTTCTTTTAGACCCCCACCCCCACCCCAACCCCCCAAACCCCCTGGACGCCCTCCCAGCCCTCCAACGTCTATAGAGTCGTTTGGGAGTGTTCCCAACAGCTAGGATGAGCTAGCTGCCTGGATTTAATTTTAAACAAACATTTAAAATATGACCATTGAGGCCCGATCGGGACCGAACCGACCGGGCTAGTTCGTGACTTGGGAGATCCGGGAACCGCCCCGTAACAGTACCGGGCCAGGTGACCCGAACCGGGTCCAGACCCGGGTACCGGGCCGGGCCCTAACAGTACCGGACCGGGCCGGTTGACGTTTTTTAAATAAGAGTAGAAATTAGACCAAAAACACCTGGCACACAATAGTTATGCTCCCATTTACGATTTACGAGTGACCAGTGACCACCACGGAAACTCGAAACCGGCAGGGATCCACCTTTACTTGAAGACCACGATTCAGTAAACTAGATAAGAATACTAATGAGAATTAAAGAATCAAGTTTGAATCCGGGAAACAGGAAAAAGAGTATTCACTATTTTGATTTTCCCTCCCCTTGGTAGGTAAAATTGGAGGAACCGAGGAAAGAAAAGCAAACAAAAGTAGTGTTGAATGGTAATAAGTAAGCAAGCATAGCACATCCTCTATTCCTCTGGAGGAATGGTAAATTGAAACACCGGCTTGCATTTACGTAGGACATTCTATGTGGGTATACATATAGGACGATCAGACATATAGGAAGATCAATTAGCTTTACCTAAAGCATTCACAGCTAGAGATATACGACCAAAAAACGAGCATTTGGAGAAACACGAGACTAGTTTCTCCACCTCGGTTTGTAACTATTTCTATGTCCATCCAATCACACCTCAAGACTTGGGGGAAAGAACGTCTATTAGCCAGGCTCTATCTATACTAGGATGGAGAAGTTATATTAGTTAATGGCAAGTCCGGGCGATCAGCAAAACTTGGCAGACTTGAAAGCAATAGGGTACTGGAATGTGTTTGAGTAGGTGAATCTGATCATTTGACTGGTCTTCAAAGGCTTCCCTTCATTAACCAAACAGTCATCATAGTTGAGTCTCTTAAATGCATTTGGATTCACTATTCTTGCAGAGGCAAACCAATCGCAGTGGAGGTGAATGTTGGAAGGGGAGCACCCAGAAAAACATGTGTTTACTATCTCAACTACATACTGTGGTATCCCGGTTGTTGAGTATGTGCTCTGTGAAATGCTTATATCCTTGTTCGTGCAAGATCCTAATCAACAAACATATAAACAAAAATCATGCAAATATGGAACTCAAAAATGTCAAGCAATGAACATATGAAGGGTAATGTGGACAAAAAAAAAAAGTAGAAGGAAAGAAATGTGTGTGCCTGGGGGGGGGGGGGGGGTATTGGTTCGAAGTTCAATGAAATTATTTCTTATATTTGTTTCAAGACTAACAAATCTGAACATATGTAAACCATTTAAAAACAATAGTCATATTTCATTTTGTTTTGCTTTTTCACACGTTAAAAAAAAATCTTAGCATTGATTTTGCTTCCCCAGCATTTCCCAGGATTCAACGTGCCCTAAACATTTAAGGATTTTCCAATCATTACACCATTTGAGAATGGTAAAACTGACTTCAATTAAGATATCAATGGCATGTAAAAATAGATAGGTAATTACCATGGACTAGAATTTTTCTGTGGCTTTTATATGCCTTCTCTGGTTTCGTACTTGTGGTTATGTTGTTCCCATCTCCCTGGGATTGGTGCCAAAACATTCCTGCAGAAGGTAGATCCATATAAATGGAACTTGAGATCTAAAAAAAGATGCATGTAGTGTGAACAGTTCAATTTAATTCTTTCAGCCAGATACCTGTCTCCCTCCATTCAAGTCCAAAACCACATATTGCAATGATGATGACCAAAGAGATGAGAGAAAGGAGAATATAACGATTGCTCACAACAGGCATTGGAGTAAAGAAAAGCTTATCCAAGTGGATTTCTTAGACCCTGTATTAATAAAGCATCAACAAGAAAATTGATGAATAGAAGAAGAAACTATAGAAGGGATTGATAGAAAGAAATCAAGAACTGCAATCATTACTCATATTGATTAGTCTCTACAAATAGCAATCTCTTGGTTCTTGCGTAAATGATAAAGCGTACAACTAATATAAAGAACTCTAGGAATGCAACTATTCTCAAACAAAATTCACACACCCAATCTTAATTTCTCCACGTTTCAGGACTCGTTTTTAGCACTAGTACATATATCATAGCCTGCATTTTTAGCTGAGAATCTGATATACGCCCTCTACGAGCTCCGCAAAAAAACAGATAGCTTAACAGAGTATGAACATCACACTAGGATGTGGGAATAAATAACTTAAAACGCAGCTATATATCCAATTCATACAGCATTTTCGACAGTATTGGACTAATTGAGTTGTGCAGTACATAATATCATAATGGAAAATATATATTAAAGAGGTGTTCTGTACAACCAAATGGGCTGATAAGCGTAATTTGAAGCCAATAAAACACCAATGACTGCCACTTTGGCTGATTCGACTGTTTAAGATTTTCAGCTGGAAAAGTATTAGCATAAGATACTTATGCCGAATCGCCGATGAAACAGGTTTTAGTACAGGCTGTAAAGCTTAAGCCATTTTTATTCTGCTTCTATTACTTACAAAAACTATAACATACCCTTTTAGCTAATTAAACACCCTAGCAGTCATTTCAGCCAAAGAAATTACAGAACACTTTCACTTTATATAAGTTTCAGTAATTTCACCATTCGCCAAATGGTGCCTAAGTGTTTTCTTGGGTCAATATAGTTAGAGGACTCAAATAGTTCATTAATCTCTTCCCCACGCAGAGCCGTGAGTAGGGGTCTCCCACATCTGCTGGATGATGGCCTTATTCCAGAAGTAGGCTGTTCAGAAGCGGCAAGCAGAGCCCGAGAGAGCCCCACCTTACAGTCCTACTAGTTTGGATGTTAGCTATTTCATGTTCATCCTCACCTTTTGTCAATCCTACCGTATTATGACATTACACAATCCGCACCTCACAAAAATGAACACTAACTACACTTTCAACTCAAAAATCCCATTGAAGCATCTCCATAACCACGCTGATAAGCAGCTTTCCTAGAAATACTTGCATTTACATAATCCGAACAAATATTTGACCGAGAACTCTGAACATGGACAAACACTACTCCTCATTCAAAAATAAAAAACGTAGAACAATAAATAGAAAGAATACATCGAACTAAAACTAGAACAAATCGGCCCTAAATCTAACATTCGCAAGCCGGCCTCGACGTTAACCAGAAATGTAAAACGGAATCCAGAAAACAGCAACACAAACCGAAGGAAAGTGCAGAAATCGACTAAAACTGCAGAAAATAACAAGAAGATAGGTAGCTAGATTTAATGCCACAAAAAACATCACTATCCATACGCCATTGAAGACAAAACATGAAAGGCAATGAGCGGGGAACAAACCTACTGTTTGCTGAAGAATGTAACAGAGAAGGAAGTAGCCGACAGCCGCAGCGAAAGGAGAGTAACTTTTGATGCGGGAAAAGGAAGCTCCAGATGAATAGCAGAAGCAGAGCAGAAAGGAGAGCGTGGAGATGGCGACTGGTGAGAAAGAGCCAAACGTAGAAAACCGTGGGGATGATGATTCGTTACATATTTATTATTCCGTATTTAATAATTGTGTGAATGTTTGTTTAAACTGTACCCCCTTGTCACGATTTGATATTCGGCTCAATCAATATTTCTAGGCAAATTCTTTAACGATTAAACACTATTTACATTTGACTGCATTTTATCTTACCATGTCCTTTCAAAAAAAATCTTACTATGTAATGCTCCATTTTACTTGGACAAACCTTCCAGGTAGTACAATAATATTATTAACATGAGTGAATCTTGTTATAATACCCTATTTTACTTGAAATAATCCAAGTAATAATACCCCATAAATGATAGCAAATTGTACTAATAAAAAAATGAAGTGAGTGAAAAAAGTGATGAGAAATGTAAAAACAAATCTCGGTATACATGTGAATATAGGCACGTCTATTTGCTTTTGTTTTTGCATGTTATCTATTATATTATGTCACTCTTTGCAAATCTCGTGCCGTTTTATCTCGTTTCTAATTTGTGTGGATTGTGATCGTCCTTCCTTTGAACACTAACAAGAATGATCTCGAAGAGTTGAAGGATATTCCCTTATGACCAATAATCTTCATGAAGGATTAAACTAAACTAAGAGGCCCGACTTTGAGAGTAGTTGTGATGTAGTACTCTTCAATGACATAGTCCGTATATAAAGTGCTGACATAGTCCGTATATAAAGTGCTAATTTCACAAATACCGTCATTACATGTGAACATGGAAGTTTATGAATTTGTCACTTACTCACTTTACACAACTGCATTTATTTCATTGAGATGGACTACTTGTTTATTGTGTTCATTTTGCATTCCCCCTCTATAACGTGCAATGTCTAGTTCACAATTCACAAACTTCGTGGCTCTATCAAACTAAAGTGTGTTCGCATTCACTTGATATCCTTGAATAGTTGCAAAAACATGTCATATATACAAGTATCATCTAGCCAATGGTTAGTTGCACACATGTTGTGATAGGCAGGTTACAAACACCTTTTAGTAACCCTATCGAACACCTTGGATAAATTGGTTGTCATTATTCCATAAGATCGACTCCTACCATAAGCCAATGATCATTGTGGTAGAAGAATCTTGTCCAACTATTTACGGGTGTCAGATTGATTTTATCAATTTCTTTCATTATGGTATCAAACTTCCACTTAGTATGCATTTTCCGCTGTATACTCAGACACTTTTAACTGTTTAATGTGAAACTTGTTATTTAAGTCTGGTTCATCAATTTGATATGATCTAGAATGGAAGTCCAATTAGAAACGTCTTTTATCACTTTTTCCTACAATTGATTGAGTCAATAAATAAATGTTTCACAAGCATTAGTTGTGATAGTAGTGTCGAGCCAAACTAAAATTACTCCGTATACAACTAGAAAACCTCGTGAACATATCAATTACGGAGTAAACAAATAACCAAACGAGCAGTTTCTTAGAAATCCTTTATAACCTCATCAATATCAAATCAGTAATCTCTATGAATTCCATCACCGCTAGACCTCTTCTATTCCGGTTGAGCGGTTGAGCGTATGAGAGCATCTTCAATGCTACAATATGCACGATGCACATGTGACATGAAAGAGATACAAACAAAAGATTAAATTTATGGCATTTCTCTCTCCTTCTGTCCACGGCCTTATGTGTTTTTGGTAAGTTTTTATCAACAATGTCGACCGCAATGTCTACATCTAGACATTGTACTTGACATTGTAGAGAAAAACTTACCAAAAACATATAAGACGTTCAAATAAAGAGAGAAATATTCTATTTGTTGTTTTTTAATTGGTTATCTCTAATGACACGTATGCACCGTTCATGTTTTTGCATTGGAGATGCTCTGGAAAAAAAATAGACACTCCATTCCTGAGCGTCCCAACACTGATCGGACAGTTAGATGAAGAATGTAAATTGAACTTTAATCACAAGCTGACAAATAGAAAGTGGGGCTCTCGCGCTGATACTTACAAAGGTCCTATGCGTTTTAGCATTGTAATCTCTCAGCGCAGTTGTCGAGATTCGAATCCAAAACTTACCTTGGCACCCCTACTGCCATTCTGCTGACTGAGTCGGGATGGGAGATTCTAACTTTTTTGGAAGAATGAAAAGTTATGTAACAATTGTTTCAATAAAAAAATAAAAAAAAAAGGCCGTGAAGAAAATTTAACGTGAACTTTGATTGATGTAAAGTAGTTGTCTGGTTTATACCTTACGGTCCAAACGTATTCCGCAGTCCCCACTTTATACGCTAAACTTTTACATAAAATTCCAATTTTAATTTTCTTCTATGTTGCATTAATTCTTTTCAATTGCCTTACATAAGAGTAAATAATTTTTTCAATTCTAAAATACGACTGTTATGATTGAAAAATACTATTGTTAATGACAGTAAATGTTGACATATTAATGTCTATTACTGCGATTACTTTGACGTTAATAACACCAAAATGACGGTAAATAGTGTGTATGTTATTCGAAAAATATAAGTCCTATTTTGAAATTTTATGTTAATCCTACGAAACTTTCTCATCTATCTACCATCTTAATTGCCTTGTTTTGCGGTGATCTTAATTCCCCTTTTGTTTAGGAAAATAACTTTGAAAATTTACGCTTTTATTATAGCTTGTTATTTTGCAAACCTAATGACGTTATTCCATTTGAACTAAACTCGGAGTTGTGTTAGGACGTTTTTACTTGGACTATAATTCGTCCCAGACCAAACCAGACCAGTTCAGACCAGACCAGACCAGACTTGGATAGTTATAAAAATACAAAGAAACCAGACCAGACCAGACTAGTTCAGACCAGACCAAACCAGATTAGACCAGCCCAGACCAGACCAGCAAATTACAGTCCAAGTAAAAACATCCTTAGCCTACATATACTAATTTCTCAGTCCCAAATTGGTGTGCAAAAAGGATTTAACTCATTAAAGATGAATCTAAATTTTTGAATAGCTGAAAGGTAGTGCTACTACTTAAAATATACGTAGTATATAGAAAGTTATAGAAACTATAATGAATGTTACATTGGATCACAAAAATTGGTACATACTGAGTCTCAAACTTGGAGAATAAAATAAAATTGTATAGATCAGAAAAAGTAAATGAAAATCATTTTCTACTAATGATGACTCCGTTTGGTAACACTGAAATCGACTGATTCTGCTTGAATTTATGAAGTTATGCTGAAGTGGCTGCATTGGTGATTCTGCCATTTTATGAAAAAAATATGTTTAAAATATATTTTATTAATAAAATAAATAAAATATTATATGAAAAAATAGCTAAAATGGTCATCTATAGTAACTTCAACCAATACAGCCAAAAAAGTAACTATTACCTTACTTTTTCTTATTATTACACAATTCAAAGCGCGAAGTCAAAAGTTACATGTTTGGTTAAAAAGATGGCTGATAAGTTTTGATGGAGTATATGGCCCAGGGACCCCGGGCCCACATACTTCCTCCACTACAATCAGGCCCAACAGGCCCAAACGAGCCGAGCCCAGAAAAATGGAGCTCTAAGCAGCCCACAATACGCAAAGGGGTGCCTTCGGCCCCATGGCCGAAGGCTACCAGTGACGGAATCGAGCTCAGAAACATCACAAGAGATCAAGGCTTGAAAACCAAGCCTTCGGCAACTGCAGCCCTCGGCAGGTAGGAGCCCTCGGTTAGAAGAGGCATCACAAGAGATCAAGGCTTGAAAACCAAGCCTTCGGCACCTGCAGCCCTCGGCAGGTAGGAGCCCTCGGCAGGTAGGAGCCCTCGGTTAGAAGAGGCATCACAGGAGAACAAGGCTTGAAAACCAAGCCTTCGGCACCTACAGCCCTCGGCAGGTAGGAGCCCTCGATTAGAAGAGCCTTCGGCTCAGCACCCTTCAACCGAAGGCATCCACCTCGACAAAATATCCTCTTCACACGCGCCTGGATCACCGTACCAAGTACAAACGTCACATCCAACCACCGCATTTAATGCGGCCACATGCGAGTGCCAGTGCCACCCCGGTCGAGGTGACCCCTCGACCACCAGAAAACTGACACGTGTCCTTATCTAGCATTTATTACTACTATAAATAGCACCCCTTTCCCCCATTGTAAACCACGCTGAATACATATCGAATATACACTCTCTCTCTCTTACTTATTTGCTCTGACTTCTCTCTAGTTATTCTCCGCAATAACCCCTCGAACAAGCTACCCCCCGGGTACACTATCTAGCATCTATCAAGTTTAATAAGCCGAAAAACAGATTCATCAAACGGGCTCGATGTACTAGCTTAGGCAAGAGGAATTGTCAAATGAGCATAGTCCTACGACTTAAAATGTTTTCACACGGAGTAAAGTTTGCTTGTTTGATCTAGTTTCTTGAAGTTTGATTTTGTAAATGCTTGATGCATTATATTTTACTATCTATTATTAAGTCTGATCTCATCTAATCAAGCGAAGCCCTGTCAAATTTGTTTACTTTGTTTATACAATTTGATACTCAGTATAATCTAATCTAGTTTAAACTAAGATTCAAATAAGACAGAATTAAAACATTTTAAATTCACAATCACCAGAACACAAACCGAGTCACAAGTGAAATTCGGTGAGGCCAACCTATTATTTTTATTATTGTTGTTGTTATTATTATTAAAATATATATGTGAGTGTTGGCCTTATTGGTATGGGAAAAGAGGGTAAATGTTGGTGTATATAGAGCGCGCGTGAACAATATACTCCCTTCGTCCCGAATTGAATTGCAAACTTTGACCGGCACAAGGATTAAGAAATGACAATAAATGATGCTTGTTTTTTACAAGCATAATTAATCTTTCTAAAAGTAGATGCCTTTAAGTTAATGGGGAAAAGTAAAAGTAGGGGTAAATTTATCACTTTATTCTTATTTACATACCTAAAATAGAAAGTGGAAAACCATTTTGAGACAACCATAAAAGGAAATTTTGCAAATCAAATTGGGACGGAGGGAGTATAATTTTGTTACGTATAATTGTGATGATGGAATGAATATTGAT